TCCCAGGGAGAACCCACAAACCAAATGCTAGCCTGGGGCCAGAAACGTCTTATAGCTGCCTCAGGGTGAATTTGTCATGGTGCAGAATCATTCTCTGACATCTGCCTATCAACTTCACCTAGCTTGTTTTTCAAGCCACCAGGAGGATAACTTTCCATCCCTTCCTTCAGCATAGAATTGTGTGTTATTAATTCTGATGAAGATTCAGCAACGTAAGAGGCCAGTTGTGTGTATCCAGCTTTTCATGAAGTTTCAGCTGTCTGTAAAGGCGTACAGAAGAAGACAGCATGGGAAGTTGTGGCCTCTGATGCTCTTTAACCACTGTGTAACTTCAGAAATCCAATTTTTGAACTGTGCATCCCTGTTCCAAGTCAGGCAAATTTTCTGCATTAACACTTCACAAAACAAACAGAGATTAAATGCAGGGAAATTAAAATTTCCACACTGCATGTTAATCCAAGGGGAACATCATCACATTGTCATGGATTTTATGTGAGAATTAAAGCACGGGGAGGAAGAGAAGCGAATGTGTAGAGCTATTTGGGATACTAGGCAGAAAGATTTTCTGCAATGCTGTTACATTACTAGCCAAGGATTATTAATTATTTCACTTCTGTCATTGTCCATTTTGCCATCTAGACAATGCTTTCTTGTTAGTGTTAAGTGTTCTAGAGAGAAGGTACAGGAGTAAAAGCTACCTCAACTGAAAAGAAGTTGCTCTTCAGTAAAGCTGGTTATGAATATATGTGACTCTGCTTTCATTAGATATGTTGAACTGGCTTTTCATGTTCTGCTGCATTAGGTAAAAGTTCTTGGAGGAAAAATAAGTGCCAGGTTACAGTATACCTGGGGCTAGCCGTAGAGCAGCACACATCCGCTGACACAGTAATAATAACCTTCCGAGAAAGAAAATGCTGAACAACTTGTCTGACATCAACACTCCTCTGTTTTCCCATAAGAGCATCAATAATCAGGATTCTTTTCAATGCGCTACTGATGCAGGGTGAGAGTTTTGGAGGTGTTGAGCAACAACTTCTTCCCTGTCTCTCCACCTCCCCTTCAGCATCAGTGATTACTCTTGGCACTTTACAGCTCTGGAATTTAAAAATGCTGTATGCTAAGGAAGAGGAAGGACATAATGCTTAAACCGCATTTTCCTGTTGTATTTTGTTGCAAAACACCTTTAGTGGCTGAAAATGAGTCATGACAGGGACTTGGGGGCTGTGCTGCTCTGCTGGGGAGCAGTGGGTTCCCAGGGAAGCTGTGAGAAACGGTGTTAAGTGGCAGCTGGACTAATCACAGCGTTACCTCTTCACCTCCTCCTGAAACTGAAAACAGCATTCAGAAAAAAAGCCATGCAAGAAGCGTGAGAAATCCCTTCTTGCTCTCTCACAAAGACATTCATTGGAGAAAGGTGATACTGAAGAGTCAAATGCCTTGTTTGAGGCTGACAGACAGACAGACCAACCAAACCCAGTCCTGAAATGTTATGTATTTTCTGCTGAGGTGATGCTATACTTGCTTAAGGTCCACATTATTAGCCAAGAATATAGAACAATGTGTGCCTGTAGCTTGCTCACCTGCTCTGCAGAGGAAAAAAGGAAGGAGCTGGGAACACTGAGGAGGAAAATACATGGGTCATACAGAAAAGCCTGGCACTGCCTTTAAGATTAATTTCTTACCATAGTGGGAAAGTGAAAGAGAAAAGGAGAAGAAAATAAAAGAAAGGATAAAACGGTTAAATTACGTATATGTATTTTTGTTTTATAACAAAATAATAGGATCCTGTGACCAACAGTGAAATATGATTAGTCACAGGTATTTCTGATATTTCCTTGTCATGAACTGCATGTCTGAATACAGAGAAGAATAAACAATGAGATTCTTGACTTGCCCCCTTCCTGTGTTTTAATTGTAAACAAGCAGATGCAATCCATAATGCTAAATAAGATTTCCTCACATTCCCTTCTGAAAATGGTTTTAAGCAAGATAAGGCACTAAAATCTAATCCTTCTAAGAATGTTCAAATACTGAATCCTTGACACAGACACGGTCTTACTATGAATTTATATGGGAGCTTTAATGGTTTTGTAAATTAATCAATAACGTGGGTAAATTATATTTGCTCAGCTAATTATTTTCCATGTCCTGTAAATTAGAACTTCAGTAGTCTCTGAGAAAAATCGGTCCTGCTGCTTGTATGCTTGTATCACATTTGTGTTTACTTACTGATCTGTTATTAAAATGCTTGTTTATTTGTTCTGCTATAGGCTGGTAGCTTTTTCTTTGCTGTTTGAGTGGCAACCATGGGACTGCAAAGCCACGCAATGTTAGTTACATTGTATTTAATATGACATCCGTTTGAGCAGAGAAATACTGTGTATTTATAGCTGCTACTCAAAATCCTCTTTGTCTCACCCTAGGGGGAAACAGGATTTAACCACCCTCGTCTTCCAAGAAATCTTTGGGACATTTTTGATGACTGAAATGGACCTTGATTGAGTTCAGAGCCTTGTGACTTTGAAGGGCACAGCTTCAAAAATGGTTTAGACTAGGTGACATCCAGAGGCTCCTTCTAACTTGAATTATTCTGTGATTTTGTGAATCTAGTTATCCAAGAAATTTTTCCCAAGTCCTGTACCCTGACCCCATCATTTACAGGACTGCATGATGGATTAGTCTGCAGCACACAAAACAGCAAACTGTGATTCCAGCTATACAGATCCAGACTCTCTCATACTGTAGCAGTCTATACAGCTCTTAGTCAATACAGTAAGAGTAAGCATGGCTTCTCCAAATTAGTGCACTGGGAATGCATTCAGAGTCAAGTCATCCTTTGTTATTGTCCAGACACCCTCCACAGAGGTTGCAGAAGAAGAGCTATTACCCTCAGCATGCTTGCACCTGCACTGCACCTCACCTTTGGGAGGAGGGCATTTCCAGCAGAGGCAAGGAGCACAGCAGGGTGCCAGGGCATGGGACTGCAGAGCATGAAGTCCAGAGGCAGTCAGAAATGAGACTGGCCTTCAGCTCACATAGCAGTTGGGATCCCTAACTCTGGAGACTGTGGGGCCCCTCCCCTGCCTTGCTCACAAACATAGCAAAAGAGGCTCAAATGGCCAAGGAAGGCTGACTGATGGCAAGCACGAGCCAAAACTAAAAATACAAATGTGTGGCAGGAGAAATACAGAGCAGCCATTGTAGTTGCAGTGGAATCAGGTACAACTGAGCATCCAAAATACCAGACTCCTGTAGCCTTCTCATTTCTTAAAATGATTTTAGAGATGCCATCACACTAGCTGCACTTTTTGGGGCAAGGCTTTCAGTACCTTTGGATTAGGAAAGGCATTCAGGTTTGATTTCAGAGGTATAAACAAAGCCAAAAGGGCGTAATGGAAAGTAGCCTGACCACAAGTCAGGGCTCAAGGGACCAGAAGCAGAAGAAGAGGCTATCTGCATTCACCATTTTAGCATGCTGCAGAGGTTGGAAAAGCAGGTGGATATGAAAACCAAAATGAATATGGAAAGATTTGTAGAGTACTTCTGACTTGCCTCCTAACCAATGGTTTATGCACACACAGAGAGAAATACACTTAGGGAACATAAAATATTACACCTAAGTGGGACTTTTATCTTTTCCCTATCTTTGATATGCCAAAAAAGCTGGCATATTTAGCACTGCACTGCTCTATTTTTTTGCATTTGCCTTTTGGTTTTGAAGATATATAAATGGCAAGAAAAGAAATAGAGACAAGAAAGTTCAAATGACTAGCAGGAGACCAGTATTTCAATATCTAGGTAATTATAACCAAAATTGATCTTTTACAGTATAACAAATTAGTTCTTGTCATAACATATGGCACACTACTTTGTAACGAAAAATGCTAGTTTGTGCATAAGTTTTTATTTTCCATGTTAAGGCATATGCAGAGATCAGGCTGAATATTCCGTGCATACATTTGTAGCTATATGAATTTGTAAAAAGAATCCACTGTTACATGACTGGTTTTTTTTGGTGGTCTTTGACTATGGTTTCTGTTGCTCTGACTTCATCATATTTCTTCACCTGACACTTTCCAGGATTGTCTGCTGGCCATACCTAGAATGAGCAGTTCACCTCCATGCTCTCCATAATTATTATGTGGTGGGTTTCAGGGTTTTTTGTTTGTTTGTTGGAGTTTTTAAATTATTTTTATTTTTTTTTTTATGAATATGATGTCCTAAACCACTTCAAATTGTTTGTTCATACATGGATAGCTCTAACATAAATCTTTAGTTGGAGAGCCAGTGTTTTCTATTGAACTAGAATTCCATTACAGAGTAATTGCTGGTTCACTTATGCACAGGAAAACAGTTTGCTACATAGCTTACATCACTATTCTGTAGACCTGATTATGCAAACATTTAAGGATGTGGATACCTCTAGAAGCTTACCTGTTCCCATAACACTTTGTAAAGCAACAGAAATGTATAAAGCTATATATGCGTACAGGTATTAGCAGGATTGGGGTCTCTTATTGCTCCTTTCTGCCTTTTAAATGGTCTTTCAGAGCTTTCATTATACTCTGCAGAACTGTTTCAGGTTCAGAGTTACTTTACCCTTTTGATTTGCTTTGTTCCTTGATCCTATCACTGCAGCACTCTCCTTTAAGCTTCAGAACAAAAGTACTTTTGGGAGCAGAGGCCCTGTGGCAGATAGTGGGGCTCTGCTTTCTTTTTGGCAATTCGCCTTCTTGCTGAGGGAGAATATTCTTGCCTGTTAAGTGCAACAACCTCGGTTACTGCACCACTACTTACCTAAGTCTCCCTGCTGGGACCAGTCCACTTCCTTAGCACAGGCAAACCTGTAGTTAATGGCTAGAGTTAAGGGCAGGGCTTTCTCTCTTTTTTTTTTTCTGTTTTAATTTTTTACGTAAATGGCTTCAATGCAAAGCATTTTCCTCAGAAGGTGTATTTATCCTAAGTGGCTCTTGCTGGTTTACACACACCCTGTCCTTTCTCTTGCTTTGAAAGTTGTTCCACTTGATTGCTCAGTTTGCTTCTTTGAGTCAGTGGTGGCAGGGGAATTATAAAGGAGATGAAGGCGCAGCCAAGTCCCAGGTAATGTGTGCAGATTTAAGCCGATTTAAAGTTGTGAAGATTGACTCTGAAACTTTCTTTGCACAAGGGACAACTTTAGGAAAAAGGTGCTGATTTTTTTGCCAGCAGTGTGTGCTTGGCTTGGGAAACCTGCTGAAGTGTGGCTCACCTTGCAAAGGCAACATGGGCAGTGGCGCTTTGAAGATTGCTGGGCTGCTTGTTGGTGGCATTGGCGTGATTGGGACATTTGCTGTCACAGGCATGCCTCAGTGGAGGGTGTCTGCCTTCATTGAGAACAACATCATCGTGTTTGAGACCATTTGGGAAGGTCTGTGGATGCACTGTATCAGGCAAGCCAACATCAGGATGCAGTGCAAGGTCTACGACTCCGTGCTGGCCCTCTCTTCGGACCTGCAGGCATCCAGAGGACTGATGTGTGCTGGGTCGGTGCTCTCGTTCCTCGCTTTCATGGTTGCCATTATTGGGATGAAGTGCATGTGGTGCACGCAGAGCAGCTGGCAAGCCAAGGGCTATATTAGTCTGGTGGCTGGGATCCTCTTCATCCTCTCGGGTATTGTTGAGCTCATTCCAGTCTGCTGGGTTGCCAGTGCCATCATCAGTGACTTCTATAACCCTGTGGTCAACGTTGCACAGAAAAGGGAGCTTGGAGAGGCTCTCTACCTGGGCTGGGCAGCTGCCTTCTGCCTCATTGCTGCTGGAGCCATATTCTGTTGCTTTTGCTGCTGTTGTATGAAAACCAGAAACTACAGGTACTCCACACCAAACCAGTATCCCACTCAGAGCCAGCATATGCACAGGAAGATGGAAAGCTCATACTCCAAAAGTCAGTATGTCTAGATGCTTCCTGCTTTTCCTCTTTTGAAGCATTCAATCTGTCTAAATGGATTTCAGCTTCTGCACAAAAGGGCAGCTAGAATGCTACCTTTGCCTTTTGCTTTGTAACTGCTGTTGTTATAGTTGCATTACCACCGGTGGGCTCTGCTGTTACTAATGCTGCAGCAGGGACAATTTTAATACATGGAAAGGTGAATGTTTAATATTATTTTAGTAGTAACTCAAAATAGCTTTTGTGTTTTGTGGCTTTGCTTTGTGTTGAATTTTATGTGTAAAGCAGTAATAAAAGGCTTAAAGTTCTACTGTGGTGTGAAATTCTGGCCTATTGCAAAAGAAGTGGGGTTAAGCAGCTGTTGGTTTCTATTTATACTTTTTTTTTTTACCTGCTTGGGGAAGAGGATAGCAGTGAATAAGGACAAGATAATAATGGTTTTAAAGAACAGCATTCACTAAGGGATTGATTTATGGAAGGTTTAATGGAAAGTTGCATGAAGAATTTATTCTGCAGAAGAAGGTAAGCTGAAACATATGAAAAATATCCCTTATTTCAGGGAATAAACATAGCTTTGTTCATCCTAAACATCATCTTCTTGGTAGAAGTTAATATTTCTTTTATAATTGATATAGGTCCAACTCATTCACATACTTCTTTTTAGTAGCAGCGGTATTCCCTTGCAAACTCATTGCAGCTTTCAACATTTTTGCAGTATTGTACAGATTACAAACACTTTGTTGGTTTCTTGCAGCAGGACTCTGTGGTATATATTTTTTAAATAAGGGTCTTTTGTACAACCAGGCCAATAGTCTTACTGAGACCCACTCACACAAGCACAGTTTACAGGCATAATGAACATAAACAGTCACAGTATTTTCTCACAGTTGACATCAAAATAAGCTAAACAATATTTTTAATAGTAACTTCGTGCACCCTGATAAGCCACAGTGTAAATAAATCAATCCTATGGGAAAATAAATAGTTATATACAAATTCATTTAATAAATTACCCCAACTAATCAATAATAGTAATATTTTAATAGAATTTTGGAACCAATGAATAAAGTGTAACTCCAAACCCATTCAACGGAATTTTGCCTTTGACTGAACTGAGAAGACAATTCAATTCGTGGTGTTTAATGGAGGACAACATTCTGGTTCTAGAGGTTGGTTGATTAAGTCTTTTACAGAAAGTTCATTTTGTGTTCTGCAGTTCTCTGGTAAATATCTTGGATTATCATATACTTGAAAGTTTAGAAGCAAAATCTTCACTTCATCAGAAGTGACCAAGCTAGGAGAAATCAAAATCTGCTCTAGAACTCTATTCACAGTGATTGTAAGATGTAGTAAGATATGCTTAATTATGCAATTTTATTTTTCCTCCTTTTTTAAAAGCAAATTATTTCTACATATGTCTATGTGCATGACCTTTCTGTAATACAGCAGTGTATGGCTGTATTTACTTTGTATTCTTTCATTAATGTTTATATGTCAGCCCAGCCTCTTTTTCAGAGGGAAGAGAGTTGAGGACAAAACCTGTTGTTAGAGGCACTGTGTGAATATCCTACTCGGAACTCATAGCTAGAACACCCAGATTTATAATGATGTCTATAATAAAGTCGCCTGCATAGTTCATCCCTCTAGAAGGTAAGTACAAGATCTTACTCAGGAAAGTACATGTATATGTTCTGGTGCACTGTTGCTATCTCTGCTGTCAAAACATAGAGTGATTCATACAGTATTCATCTGCAGGTCTGAGACTTGTCTCAGTGAAAAGTGCGATAAGCATGACATCTCTAAAAGCCCTCTGTACATCGATCACTACTGCTGCATCGGATAATATTATCTATTCCTGGTAAAGCACACACTCATCTAGTTGTGCAAGCAAAAGAAGATACAAGAAACCTATAAGAAGACTTCAAAAACTATCCACAGGACTAACAGGAACACGAGTCTAATGGACTGTGAGTGGGACCCTGGAATCTTTTAAAATCTCTGTTAGAGATCCTATATATACTACAGACAGTTGACATTATTATAATATATACATATTCCCCTTAAGTACCTGCTATACACACCCAGCCATTTCCTTTAAATTGTATCTTGCCCATACACAGTATCTTCAAAACAACCAAAATGAAAGCCATGTCAAACAGAGCTGGCCTCCCTCAGCTTTGTGTATTAAATAAACCCTGAGTAGTCTGACCAAAGGGTCCCATCTAAGGGCATATGTCCAAGCACAAACCAACTGCCTGAAGTAGTAATATTTCAAATATTGTATCCTGTAATTTTCATTCTTACAGACAAGAGAATTTATTTAGGAAATAAGTAGTATTGCCTCCATAAATGAAACCAAGTTTGTCCAGCTTGTTCCCCTTTGCCCTGTACTTTAGGCACTTGTATGCATTTCTGCAATGCATACAAGTGCCCAAAAAATGGATGGGGAACCTTTCCAGGTCCACCTGGTGCCTTCTCTGCTGTGTAAATGAATGTACGACTTGCAGGTCAGAGAAGGGTAATTCTCATTTAACTCGGATGAGTGAAGGTTCAAGATTTCAATCACCACTCTGTGATTGAGCAACTGGGCTTTCATTTATAGCGAGCCTCTTCTGAAATTCTCCCACTGCTGCTGCAGCTGCGGTGGAGGTCTCGAGGGTAGATCTGCCACCTGCATTACAAGGCAGTGGTCTCATCAGGGCTAGACAGCAAGGTGGTAAATTCATACGTGGCAGCAGAACTGCAGTTTCAGGAGCTGTTTTGTTCAGACAAGGCATAGCTATAACAGAGCCTGAGTGTGCGTGAGCTCTCATTTTACAATTTTATATGAGAATGAATCATCTGGCACACGAAGTTATCACACATCTGCAAATCCAGTAAGGTCAGCTGCATATAATGGATTTATCTCTCCTTAAGGTGTAGTCCTGGATAGGTGTACTCTGAATACACATGTGCCTATATGTGAGAGTTTATCTGTAGGCTGCTTGCTTTCTGTTCAGCTCTCAAACATGACTAGTAAAGAGTAATAGAAAATGGATCAGGGAGAGACTGGGAGAGGCCATATCTTGGGCCTCACAGCCAGGAAGGCTCATGACTCACGTTATAAGAACAGCCTTTCTGTGTCAGCCTGGAGATGTATAGAGATTTTCTGTTCCCACTGTCACAGGCAAGTGGCTACAGAGCAGCAGGAGACCAGGGTCAGTGGACAGCTGTGTTTGGAGGTACTGTCTCCACTTACAGCCTGCTGTAATCAGGGTATCTTTGTGTTTAACGAAATACCAGGCTTTAAGCCCTTCGCCAAGGGTCACACTCTGACCCCACACAGCAGATACAGTAGGCTTTCTGAGCATGTGGCGTGATGAACATCTCTCCTTTCCTGCTGAGATGGAAGAAGGACAGCGCTGAGTAACAATAGCCCTGTGAAGGTCTTGGTCAGTACTGACAGAGCCATGTCCACTACCCCAGTCTTGTCTTGCAGAGCAGGGTTGAGCCTCTGAACTGAGCCCCTCCACGTTCACCTGCATTTTGGGTGCTTCTAGCCCTTGCACTTTGACTGAGACTCTAACACACATCAACCCCTAATGAGGAAGGCAAGTTGACCTCGAGCTAACCGTGCTGTCCTCCTCATTCATCCACTGCCCGTGGAGCTGGTAGCCACAATAATTTCTGTAAAGTCTCAACAAAGAGCTGACAGCTAAGGGGTGTAGGTCATTGGCAGTTCTAAATATGTGTTGCTTGAGAAATTAGAAGGATGATGTCAACTAGTTTACCTGGGTGCTCTTAAGAATCCAATCAGCACCATCAGGTCCTTTCACTGGCAGGAGGTGGTTAATATAGGGCCAAAAAAACCCCAGACAAATAGGAGAAGACACTATGAGCAGAATTCACTCTGGAAAAGGTGATATCTATTAAGTATTCCATTGCTCTTCTCAATCAATAAATATATCAGAATTATTCCTGAGAGACATTTATGAAATAAAAACTTTCAGAGGTGGCTCCTCTGCAGTGTCCTTTGCAATCTATCCTGGTACTTAATTATAATTTTCATTAAAAAAGGTTTTTGAGAAGCTTAAACTAAATATCCCCACCACAGACTATTATTTCTTGTCCCAGAAGCAGCAGGCATAGAAAACAAACTACTGCTTTCCTTTAAATAGTGTAGCTTTTTCCATATTACAGTACTGTTACCATCTGACCTCTTGAACCTGTCTTACTTAGCTTAATCATCTCTAATTCTTTTCGTACTGGATGCTCATTAAATTTCTCCCCATACTTGTTTACCTCCTCTGTTTTTGGTTGCTGTACTTTCTTTAAGTTTGATGCCCAAAACCAAAGAATCCCAGAAGAAGCCTTACCACTGCATAGCACACTGGATATACTTATTGCAGGTTATCATAGAATGGGGTAAATGATCCACAAAATGAAGCAAATACAGTCCTTGAATATGTTAAATGCGTTGCACTGCTATTATTCTAGGCCTCAAGATTGCCAGCTTTCCTGCTCTGTGGGACTTAACCATTGACGGTACATTGACAAGCTGGGTATCTAATGCAAATTTCCTTGCTGCAGTTTTTCCTTTATTGCTAGATTCCTGAAGGTAATAAGATGATACCCTAGAGAAACCCTTTGCTCCAACAGCAGCAGAAATCAGTGTTTGGAAATAGGAATATAAGAGTTGTCCATCCAGTACATCTTTTTTGTTTTTTACTCACTCACGGATTCTGCTTCCATATTACATTTTTTTCACTCTTCTCCATCCCTTCAGTGTGTCTGTTAATTTTCTACTGCTGTGTTAGATGCTTTAATAAGGTCCAACTGGATTAGATTTTCTTAACTTTTATTTTCTAGAAATGTTACCAAACAAAAACTGAATCTTTTCTTGCTAAGTCTGTGCTGCTTTTAATTTAACATTCCATTTATTTCCTTTGTAATGGATTTAAAATCATCTCATACTATTAGATTCTGACTAGTTTCTAGTTGTGCACAGGATTTTCCACTCTCCACTCATTCCCCTAGTTTCTCTGTTCTCCAGACACATGGATCTGACACATACCCTAACAGTCTTTGCTACCAGATTTAGAATTGCTCATGCTGAATTTCCTTCAGTGGAAATTACTCTCTTTCTTCAAGTTGTTTTCATCAAGACGCAGGAGGTTTTTTACCTGCCTTGGATGCAGTATTGTAATTCGCTCATGCCCTCCTTCTATAGCCTTGTTACTCAATTTTAAAGGGGAGGAGGGCTAACTACCTTTTTTAGACTCATACTTGCAACCTACCTTGCCTCTTCCCTTACCATTCTGTATTTGTATG